CTCGACAAGCGCCGAAACTTCGAGATATCTCGTGCAAATCGTCTCGTAAGCTTGCTCGGACGCGACAAACAGACAGATGCGTTCGACGCTCCGCGATCATCGTGCCGATCCTGGCAATCGTTCAATTTTCAACTCATAAATACTTTCGTTTCGAGTAGCGATATATAGCGCCAGTGTGTCAACAAAGATCATTTGTCAATTGACAAGATAGTTTGGTCGAGTCGTTTTGCAGTGTCGCCACAGTTGGTTGGCATTTACATATGGCGCAGCTTATAATCGTTGCACTTACAATTGACTGACGTCAGACAGGTGATAAACAAAATTTTATTTTACGACTTGTCCGGAAAATATTTTTCATACGTAGTATAAAAATCAGCAGCTACTCTTATGTTTGACGCAAATTCCCGAAACTCATTTTACTTCGGTCCAGACTTTACACAGATTTTCATGGAATCATGAAACTAGAGCTTTTCCAAAAAGATAACGATGAAAATTTATACTGCGAGTAAATCTTTCTTCAGAGTTTAAATTACATTATAAAATATTACGTAAGCGTACTTCAAGTGACGCAGCTCACTGTTAGGTCGGCCTTAACTCAGCACTTTACATGCAGAAAAGTAAAAGCTTGGACTCTGAATCGTTTTCAAATAGACTCGAGAAAAAACTATTATTTTCAAAAATATAAAAAAAATTTGCAAATATAGAAAAATCAAGGTATCTTTTTATTCTCAGACGATTGTTTACAAAGACACTCACAACGGTCACGGAGCTCATGTTCCAGTTTCGAGTTTCCAAGTCCATACAGGATCATTGTTACCTACACCCATAAAGATGTATGAAATGGAACATAATAATTGAGCTGACGTGACTTTTATTAAACGAGCTTTTTTCGATAATTCATTAATTACTCGGTGCCCGAGAATGCAATAAAGCAATAGCATTATGATGGAACGAGTCAGTAACAATTATAGTTGCATCATGAACTGTGCGCAATTACCGCGCGGAGCTTAGAAGTATAAGTATATTTAGAAGACTTTGCGGTCTGCAAAGTGCAAAGTGGCGAACGTCAAGATATACCTATAGATAGTAAATAGTCGGTAGTGCGCGAGCTTGTGTATATATGTAACAGATAATGTGAGTGCGCATTAGCTGCGGCAGTTGTAGTGGGTATGCGAGCCGTGTACGAGCTAACGTCTTTGGCGGCTCGAGCACTGCTGCCTCTGTCGCGCTGCTGCTCTGTCGGAGTCGGACTCGTGGCTGCCCGCTGATACAATTGACATTGCGCAGCCTCGTTCAGGGACGTACTTCCGAGCACAAGATCGTTGTCCGCGACTTTTCATTTCTCTCTCTCTCTCTCTCTCAGTCACTTTTTACGCGCTCGCTTATTCGTTGCACATACTCGCGTGCCATCGAAAAATATTCCAACTCCAGCGAGCTCTCGTGACGGATTCTCGCAGATAATGTAATTTATGCCATGTTCAACATAAGCTTAATCATCGAAGAACAGTCAGCTTTGTTTACAATTAGCTTCTCGTCTTGCATTCAACGTGTCGTGATAAATAAAAGACCTTGGCATTGATCGTTGCAGTTTGCCCGATATTTTCAAAACTATCGCAAAGTAGATTTTCACGTTCGCAGTTCTCGTCGTTGACCTTCAATTATGCAAGTAAAAATTTCGACAGACGCGCGTCTGCATTTCAATTTGAAACTCGCAAGCACGATAACGATAAAGTAAAGGACAAATTTAAAATAGCACAGGTTAAATGATACACATTGAATTGACGAAGCTCCGAGGCAGGCAGTGCGGCGAGGCATTTTATTATAAAAACCGTATTGAGCTATGTCACGAACACATTTTTCAGCGGCCTTGGCGAGTTCGTTCGGTGCTCTCGCAAGCTCGCGCGCTGCGAGCCGATTCTCGAGCAGCCGATACGAAATTGCCCAAAGTTGCTTCATTTTTGTGTTGCGCCGATGTCCGCGAGACGCAGCCGCGCACTGGCAAACATAAAATACACGTGTCTAATTAAATTTCCTGTATCTCTTATCTCGCAGCCCGTCTCTCGTGGCCGCGCGCGTCTGTCTTTGTCGTGAGTGTGTATGTGCGTGCGTGCGAGATGACATAGCGCAATGCACTTGAAAAAGATTTTACAGCGCCGCCGGCCCGCTGAAAATGCCTTTGTCCTAGTTTCGCGTTAATGTTTCGTTTATGTGGCTGCGACGGAGCGCGCGCGCGTACGCCGAGTGAGAATTCGAAGAGTGGATAATTCGAGTAAGTTTCCTTTCGATCGTCAAAACACGTTGTTCGCGAAGATCCGTGCGCGTCTCTTTGACGCACTATTGCACTCTTGCTGTGTACGCGCTGCGTTTCAACGACTGACCGATATATATCGGTCAGGCGCGACTAATCGCTCGCACCGACGAGCAGTACGTCCGAGCTCGTGTCATTTTTCCGCCTCGACCGATATATCGATGGAATGCCGCGCGCGTCGCTATCCCAGTCGCTTTCTCTGCTTTTCTTTGCGCTGCTTTTGTGCTCTTTGCAAAATCCTTGAAATTTGCGCTGTACTTGCGAGTGATGTCCGCGCATGCCGAGACAATTGTGACGCGCACAAATCCGCGATTGCCTTGGCTTTGAATCTGTGCAGCGCACACAACGCAACATTATCTTGGATCAATTTGTAATATCGTTCGTTTGTTACAGCCGACTAATATCAAAGAGCATAAATTCATTTTTTCTGCCTATTAGCTTGCGTTTCAAGTTTTCTTAATTGACTCATTTTTGTGTCTTAATGATGTAATAGGGTTATTTATCTTAACAATCGATCGGAGTCTCGGTATATGAGCTCAGTTCGTTGAAAAGTTAATTTGAAGTTGAAGCGATGTACAATAATTTATACGCTTATTAATTTTATATTTGTTTTCGAATGAGGTGAACCGATATGAACTTGTAAAAGTATCAGCAACTCAAATATTCCGACTTTCGTAGACATATTCACGCTAACTAAATGCAAAGAACCAAAAAAGGATATGGGTCAATCGTAAAAAGGTCCAAATAGAGTACGGTTGTCCAAGCGCGGCAACTGACACGCAACCACTTGTTGTACTCGTTGAGCTTGCGGCTTTCAATGCGACTTAAAATTGTACCAAGATGCTATGCTACTGTACATATTATAGACTTACGAGAAGATGAAGAAGGCGAAGGCAATGGGTCATCGTAATGCAATAGAGTGCCGGCCGTTGCACCTGCGGCGGTTACCGTAGCTTGCGCCAAGCTCAAATTATCTGCTTCTTCGTATCATCTTAGGCGGCTTTCTTATAATACCATTAAAACTTGTCTAATTAACGAGTCATAGTGTCGTATCTCAAATATGAGGAGATGATCACCGATTCTTTGATTTTTTCCTTGCGTATTCGATCAAGTATATGCTGTCTGTGCTTCGCAATCCGCTTAAAAATTACTGTAGATCGGTAACACAACACTATTCGGTGAAGCGATCACACATTTTTGAATCGAACAGCGCAATCGACGCACAATGGGTCGATTTCTGTATGACGTTTTTTTCAATCACTTTCGTTCGGAGCTTTAACATTTCTGCAGATGCAAAAAAAAAAAAATACAAAAAAAATAAAAAAATTGAATAAAACGAGAGGAAGAAAAAGCCGATGAGAGCCGACGAAATCGGTAAGTCGAGGTCACGTGAGCTTGCAGAGTGGCCACTTTATTTAATACATAAGCTGTGTCTTCGCGAGAGGAGGGTCTAGTTGGCACTGACAGATCTAACTATTTCATAGAATGTATATACGACAGGGCAGCGGTAGCAACAGCAGTAGTGGTAGCTGCAGTAGCTTTAGCAATGGTAATAAAGCTTGCTCTTTCTTGCTCTCTCTCTCTCTCTCTCTCTCTCTCTCTCTCTCCATCTTGCAAATCGTGCGCTATATCGGTGTAATAATTTAAGTGCACGTGTAGGTACACGATACATCTATATAATAGGTGCGTTTCTCTCTGTCTCTCTTTCTATCTCTTTGCAGCTCACAAAGTCTGCACGTAGGTGTTCAAGTGTGTGAGTGCAAGCTCGATATTTACTCAGTCAATGCATAGATGAGAATAAACTAGTCATTTCAACAGGGTGATATATGTTAAAAAACCACAATTAAATTTGATGGTCTAAACTTCAACACTTTTGAGGCTTTTGTAAACTAATACGTGACAGAATTTTTTATACTCTGAATAATTGAGTTGAATATTTCAAGCACTACTCAACTAATGAAATTGCATTTTTAAGCAAAGCTGCTCATTATGAAGATGTGTACAAGAAAAATGCAAGCTCGCGTTTATAAGTACAAGCATTGGATGGAAAATTATTTCTAGGACAATCTAGAAGTGCGGACAGGTCTCAAGGCTATTAACAGCCTGAGAGATGATTTCTCTATTATACAGTTGAACAACTATTGTGCATGATAATGGAGCGCGCCTGGAGATAGACAGTAAAACTGCGATGAAGCCGAATAAGTAATACATCATTGCTCTCTCGCTCGGCGTCATTTATACTGGTCTCTCTCTCGCTCTCGCTATAATGCACCCAGTGCATGTACGTGTTCGTTGCGATTTGCGTGCATTTACATTAGACACTATGTAGTTATATGTATATGCATTGTCGGTGTTACAGCTCTCTGACATTGCTCTTCAGTCGAGAAACGATTCATCTGGCACTAATAACGCGATTTCAAATTTGCGTTAGTCGTTCTATTCATAGTTCTTCACTCGTCCTTATGACTATTTATCGTATTGATTGATCAAAAGTACTCCAGACACAATAGCTTTTTCTGTAACAAATTTTATATTTGAATTATACTATCTCATACATTCTCTCGATTTAAAATCTCCCACTGAACATACATTATACAACTTAACTATTCGTCGTTTCATTTATAACAAATATAAATACTCGAGTTTACAACTTTTATGAAATAAATATCTATTTACAAAACATCACTTTAAATTAATTTTACATTAAAATAATTATTTGATCCTAAAAACGATGTCATCAATTCATAATTAATTTTGATTTTTGTTACAACTCACATCCTAGGTACAACCAATTTTTCATTTTGTTTTGAAATCACGACGTTACACGACGATCTTTATATAAAGTAGATATCCATTAAAAATTATATTCAAATATACAAAGTTGTATTTACATATACATATCTTGCCTTTTTCTTTCAGTCTCCAACATCAGAATCTCCATCTCCAATGGCATTAAGTAAATGAAAGGCAATACCTAACAAAGCTGTTCCAATTAAATCACCTGCAGCAGTTAAATAGGGAATAGCTGTACTATCAGGATCCATGCCTCTATTCCACATCCAAACGACCAATAATCGAGCAATGTATAATAATAATATGACCTGAATGAATTAAAATTAATTTTGTATAACATTTCATGAGAGATTGAAAATCATATCATGTGAATGAATTTTACCTGCAAAAAAGCTGCAGTTAAGTAAAACGCCATAAAAGTAGGCGTAAATGATGTGTGTCCAGCTTTCAAATAACTGATAATGTAACTAAAGCACATGTGACCAGGAATAACCATTGTTAAAAGAAGTCGTGCTGTTTTTGCATGTCCACCTAAATTTTTTTATGAATTCATTGAGTGCCGTTTGTTGAAAATTTTTAACTAAAAATTTACCTTTCGAAAAGAAGACATAGAAAGGATTAATGCACATGACGGTTGTTTCTTCAGAATCTTTATTTTCTTGTTTGTGCATTGAAGTTGATATTCTACTAGCTTGAACAGCAGCAAGGTTTCCACCAACTCCATTAATAACTAGTTGGAAAACTGCAATACCTTCGTAGCTTGAAATTGTATAGTCTAAAATTAAGCCTCCGGCACTGTGTAAATTCAATATAAATTTATTCATTAGCAATTGATAGAAAATTATATAGAAATTTTATTATATATAGAAAATTATAAATGAAAATTAGTGTTTATATTTACCTGCTTATTAACATTGCAAAAATAACTGGAGCCCAGCCATGATTTAAAACTTCCTTGGTGAAAGGATTTTTAGCTGCAATAAAAGCCCAGACAGGAGTGACCAATACATAAAGTCCAATTATAATTGGGGCTATCCAGGGAGCTTCAGCTTTAACAAATATTCAAAACTTAGTTTATTTAAGTAGGTATTCAATTAATTTATCATTTTATAATATAAAATGCTTACCAATAGCATTATATAAAAAAGAAGATATCCAAGCAAGAAGAGCTAATGTTGTTAAATCTCCTAAAGATGCAGCAATGGGTGTTGCAACATTGTCTGGATTAATGTTCATACGCTTTGACAGCAATATTACCATGACCATTACTAAACCAAGTACAAAACTAGCAATACATGCTGTCACTAATGAGCTGGCACACAGAAGTAAACCGTGATGAATATTGAATTCTCCTTTAGGTAACCATCCTAAGGCAACAGCAGCAAGTGATGCTAATAATGCGACAACCATAGCTTGGCATTGGATTAAGGCTAGATTTCCAACAATTAAACTCCATTGCTGTTTTTTTGTATCCATGTGACCTAAATTGGCTTGGGTAGAAAGTCGAGATGCTAAAGTCATTTCTAGATTACCCTTTAAACCTAATAAGGCTGGAACTAGAATATAAACTTCTGAAACTTCTGCAAATACTGGCCAATGCTAAACAAAAATTAGTAAATGTGAACATTAAGCAATAAACATTTTCATTTAAAATTTACCTGAACAACATCAAGGAGTAAACTAGCAGCCACCATTCCAAAACCAGCTAATGCAAAAGGAATCAGTATTTGAAGAAAAGTAGAAACAACATTTTCTTCATCGCTAGCTTCTTCTGAGACTTTTGTAGATTTATCAGGTTTTTTATTTGATAAATCTGAATGGGAAGGTGCTATTAGTTGTTTTGTATCACAGTCATCGCTCAAGTCTTCGTCAGACTCATTCCCCAATAACTCCATCTTAACATCAGCCAAGTCATGATCAAGTAGTTCTTCATTGCCTGAACCCACCATTTTTTTCCGAGACTTGGAGCTCTTTTTGTAAGATTTTCTTTGACGTAGTTCTCTTGTAGTAGTATTTTGTTTTGTTTTAAACTCCGCATTGTGCATTGTACAATATCAAATACTGACTACTACCACTTGCTGTAAAAAAAAAAATGAATTCCATTCAGTGTTACAATAAAATATTATGAAAAATATACATATGACTAGTGTCTGTGGTATTCATTTGTGATGTTAAATTTTAAATGAAATGTAAACAGTAAAATTTGTGAATTTAGAGAGCAATGAAAAGAAAATTTGAACCAAGTCAACCTTGTCATTCTTACTTGGAATCATTTTGTCATTCAAAACCTGTAAAAATTAATGTTCGAATTCCTTGGACAACCGATTTTTATAAAATAGCGGATTGGCGAATTAATAAAAATGATAAGTGAATTCTCTTAATTCTTCACGCACTGCACGATTCGTAGAATATAATAATTTTTCTCTGGTCTACTCTTTCAACAATATTTGTCCTCTAAAAAATATTCAATAGAGAATTAACAATGGCAATGCTGCCATGTGTACAATATAAAAGTGTATTTATAAAAAGCACAATTATTAAGGTTAAGCGAATAAACTAAAAGCAGCGAAATTCGTTTACCAACACATCGATACTGAAGGAAGAGCAAGTATGAAACATACGTTTTGTAACTCTTTAGGAGACAAAAAAGTATAAAGCAAATAAAACTAAAAGCGTGTGAAATTAGAGAAGAATAAAGCAACGCCGAACGCAAACATAAGATTCGAAACGATGCCAAATCTCTTTTCCATTATACGTATGTACATGTAATCGTGCCTTTGTAATTGTCTCACAATCAACACTTGTGAGTTGTGAAGAGGTGAATTGTTCGTTATCGCATTGTTTACAAGATTAGATTAAAGGCGTTGGCATGCAACAGCCTATGAAAATCGAAGGCAACCTCACCTCGACAATACGAAGGCAATGGAATTGGCGGCAATGCGGTTGGCGAGCGGCCTACCCAGACACTCTGCCCTATTAGACGAAAGGATATACAACGAGATGCACATGGTTTAATTTCTGGTCCCGCGGCTTGTGCCTACACTCGAATAAGTACGAATTTGTGCACATGCATAAGTCAGACTGTACAAGCTTACAGCAGCTTCAAGATTGCAGGCCGGAAAAAGTGTCCAGCAGACAGCTGATCTATAAGGGTATATGGGTGATTACAAAGAAAAAGGTTTTCTTGTTCCTAAACTTTTATAGACTGCTCTGAATTAGCATTTACGTTGAATAATCAATCGTTTTATTACGCTGAAACGATTATAATGCTAACAGTACAGTGACTCGCAAACATGAGGTGAATACAAAATTCAAAGAAAAAATTTATATAATATAAAAATACTGATTTCATCATATTTACTCTGAGATGCCAGCGACTGGAGCCGTTCAAATATGATTGATTAAAATTATAATTAGATTGGACTATAAATGGGAAAATTCGTGCACGAAATTTCAAATAATCATAGTTTTCTGTTAATTTTTGCACATGAAACTCAAATTGCTTTCTCATAGAGAAAGCTCAGTGACAGACTCGAAAACGAGCTTTTGACCCAGGAATCGTAGGACAATTTCGTTAAAATTTTATTTTTTAATTTATACGCGATAAAAGATTAATCCATTCTCAATCATTACCTAAGTAAGACCTGAGCTTATAAACTCTCAAAAAATTTGAATTTGATTTGAAACTCTAATTTGGTGAGTAAAAACGAAATAGAGCTTTAACAAATCAACTGACTGTATTAAAATATCGTGCTTAACTGCTCTTCGAATGGTCGGTTAAAAAAACTTGTTTGATTAAATGATACAAAAGCTTTCCGAAAATTTGATTCATATTACGTACGTGCTAAAATACAAGCTCAATTCATAATATCAAGTATAAGTAGGCCTACATCTATTAGTTATTTTAGGTACGAATAAATGTACACAGTATGTAAGTCGAGTATGAAAGTGGATAGCACGTTGCACTTAGTCAATACAGTTCAGTAGGCAGTGCAGACATACACAGATGAGACTGCAGATATCTCGTGCATATTATAATAGTGTTGCACTCACTGGACAGAGTTCACAGACTTGTATAAATTGCAGTGCAGTGGCGACGGCGCGCTAAGTGATTTGTCCAAAGTAGGAACATCAGGCGTGCACATAGGTGTGCACATGCAATATATTCAAGTTTCGCGCCGATGATACAATGATTAAAATTTACAAGCCGAATCTACTTCTAAAATTTCTAAGCTTGATGCGATCGTGTTGGGCTACGAGAGTTCATTTTTTCACTTCACCATTGTGGTTCTTGAACTATTTTTTTTTTTTTTACATTAAGAAGTTATTGACGAAATTGCTTTGTACTAAAATGCACTTCGATATTTATTAGTGGATTAAATTTAAATTCTTGTTTTTTCATGTACTTAACTCTATTGTAGCTGTAAACAATGTTATTAATAATGTTTTCTGATCGATCACTTCATTGGCTCAAAGCCAAAAGATTTCCAATTTGCCTTATCCGCCAAGTCTCAATGAGCGCCCTACAGAGCTTTTACATTATCTACAGCGTAAGAAAGAACCTATTTAAGTTTACGTAGTATAAATTAGTACCTTCAGCTTTTATCTAATTAAATTTACATTTTTTCTTCGTTTTTTTTTCTACAATCTCCAATTTTTCAAATAAAATTATTATCTTGATATGGTGCAAAGATAGTTTGAATGAACAAGTAATGAATTTAATTATGAATCGAAATAAGTGACGGTAGTATCGTTCATGTTATTGTGAGAGTAGATGAGATAATTGACAGCAGCGAGTTTGTTTGAATATTTTTTAAAAAGATGTGCGTACAGTTACCAGGCGGATGGGCCGATCAAAAAGTAGTGCAGCTTTGGCAGTGCTTGCGAGTACAGCGGCCAGTGGTGCGCTCCGTAGCTTTGACTAATGCGTTCTCGTCTTCAAATAAGAGTACGCGTCTGTCGGCGGCGCGTTCCGCTTGCGGACAATGGCATTGTGCCCATATGCGATGCGAAGCCAGCAGCAGCAGCAGAGCTTAGACCGGTGGTGTGCCGCGCCTTCTAATGTCAAAATGCTCCCCGACTTGTACTGCTTTTACAACTTCTGCATGCTGGTCGTGTATAGGAGCGACGAGCTCGCGACGATCAGTAGTATTTCTGCGGGCTCGAGGGCTGCGCGTAAAAAGCTCGAGCTTGGCAAAGCTCTATAAACTGATACCGAAGCTGTTATTCGATCTCTGCGTATCACTGAACACACCGATCGAAATAATTGTGAATTTTGAGGGACAAAACTGTCGCCACTGTCGTCTAAAGACTTCAGTGTCTGCAAATGTTTAATAATATTTTATGTGACCATTTGATTAATTATCCCTGTGAAACAGAGACCTTAAAAACAGTGAGAGGTAGAAAAACAATTTACGTCAGTTCAAACAATTTATATGCATTTACCTATACTTTGCAGGTGGTTGCATAACTCGTGTTTCAAATATAACAATCTCAGTAAAAATTCAAACGCCATTACTTCAAATAGAATGAAGCCATCTTATAGAAACGGCTCCTGCCCAAGTAAATTATTGAAAAATAATTAATACTACTAATAGAACATTTTTTAGTACAGAGATAATCAAAAAGCTTAAGAGTTACAGATAAAAAAATTATATAACTATATTTATTATTAATATACCGTATAAATACACGTAAATTATTAAAATTTTATATTTCTTAAGTAAAAATTATATTATCTACTTAAGAATATGAGTAATAACAGCTTTCAACACCAAAGCCAATATCAGATTTACAGAGCTCTTCGAATTCAACTTTCCGTAAAAATTGAATATTTTGCTATGATTTTAACTTTAAAAACACCGTAATTCATTATGTACTATTTTATAGAATGACACCAAATCAATCTTGTCTATAATTTTTCATGATTACTACAGAATACTTTTTCCATAATTTGTTTTCGTAGATTCATCTCCTACAAATAAAATAAATAAATAAAATTAATTTAGTTTTATGAATATCATATAAGTTAAACTTTTATTCTATACAATTTTGTTCATTTACCTCTAATATTTTTTTTCTGAAATAATTTTCAAACTCTTTCAACTTTTTATTGCCATCATTTTCGGTTGCTTTAATTTTCGATAATTCATGTTCTAAAATTGATTTCTTTCCATTAAACTCCAACTTCACACGCTCTAACATTTCTTTTTGAGAATTGCACTCTCTATATTAAAATAAAGAATTTACCATAATTTATTGGAGTAAATCAGACAAGTAAGAAGAATAATATTATCTTAAGCGTTACCTCTCTTTATCAAGAAGTTGATTATCTAATTCAAATAACAATTGCTTATGACTTTCATAGTCATTGTCTGTTGAATGATCAGTTGAATTTTGTTTTTCAATACTTGACCATCTTTGAATGTCATGGTTTAATGTATTCAATTTTTTCTCCGCTAATTTCAAGTTTTCAGTCGCTTCCCTATAAAAAATGAATGATTCATGAATACACAGTTTATTTAATATTTTTGCCAGAAACAGCAATTTACTTCAGTTGTTTGTAAGTGTCTTTAGAATTAATCTGAAACTTGTCATTGAGATCTTTGACCAACTCCTGAGCACTTTCATTTATTTTTATTTGTAATTTCTTTTTTTGAATGGAGTCATTCAATGCCTGTCGTTCTTCTTTTTTCATTTCTATAACTTTTTTTAGTTCACTTGAGCGGCTAGCATATTCTTCTGGAGATTTTACAATTTTGGATTGTAATTCAACTGTTATTTTATGAAGCTGCCAAATATTAAACATAAGTTTGAATATAATTAATACTCAATTATATATTTAAGAAAATCAATTAAAAATACCTGGACAGCTTTGGCTTTCAAATCGGTAAAATGTTTATGTTTATCTTGATGTCTGGTCATGATTTCTCCCACTTGATTTTCTAACTCTTGTTTTTTTTTATTGTTATTTTCAATATGTTTTTGAAGATTTTCTATTTCTTTTTGCAGCTGAAAACAGTGATTGTTAAGAATCAATCTGAATCGATTTTACTTACAACGATATGATTTGAGAATAAAATTACCATTTGTTTATATTCAATCTTACTCTCTCTTTCATCGATAGTTGCTCCAATTTTAGCAATTGATAAACTTTTATTTTCTATCATATCATCAATTTCTCTTTGACGATTATCCAATTCTCTAAAGCTTGTTTCATGTTCAACCATTTTATTTTTGAAGTAAGCAAAAAAGTTAAAAAGAATCTTAATTTGTCTTCGAGCTCTTTTAGGACCTATGAATTTTATATCCATTATTAGATAAAAGCAAGTAGTTTGAATTATATTAATATAATATTACTTACCTGGACTAATGATATCTGTAAGACAAAGATCAACCAAAAATATTTCATTGCAAAATGATGAAAGAGCAGAAAATAAATTGATTACTTTGATTACCTCCCATGGAGAATCTGGACTTGATAGACACTCAAGTTGCTCCAATGTAGGCTATAAAATTGGATAGTGATTATTTGGTCAATATAAAAAATGATTAAAAATGAAACTTACATTTGCAATTTGATTTACATCCAAATGATATCTACTCAAGTATTCTGTGATTAAATATATCATAAATTCTTCTGTAGGATTTTGTAAATTTTTCATGTCTACTTGAATTCCGGATTCCTCCAAAACACCTTGTAAAACTTCTGGCTCCATTTTGTGGAATTTTTATTATTGACCCTTTCGAAGTAATTAATGATTCGGTATTAGTGTTTATTTATCAAATCTTATTGCAAGATTTTAAGTACATACCAATTTAAAGAAGTTATAATTTTACGTGTGAGCTGAAAGTCAGTTACAGTCAGAATCCAACAGTAGGCGGATCTCAATGTTTTCAAATTCAAACAGCAGCAGACTGCGCACAGATGCCGAGGCCAATCTTTCGATTCATTCCTTTCGAAGATTTCTTCACAACCATCCATACAGTATTCTTTAACTATAATGTTATTTTCTATACCCGATGATATTATATACTATGCTGATTAGATGTGCAAACTTTATTTGTTGATAAACAATAACGTAACAGAAAATTCGCAACTGCATTAGTTCGCACTCTAACCATTGCGCGATTATTACGCGCTCAACAACAAAACAAACCCGCCGTGCGCCAGACGTCAACGCCAAAATCTGAGATATGATACGCCATCTTCCATCTATACAACGAATCAATATTTGAATTAAATTATCGACTAAACTGTAATAGAGGAAACTTGCTAGGTACGCAGTAGTACCTACCGAACCATCCTTTATAATATTCGATCATTTTTTATTCGAGTCCTAGAAGCGTTTAGTTTCACTTTTAAATTATTTTAATACCGTATTGTAGTAATTAATTATAAAATTATTGCATTTATTGTGTCGAAAAAGTTAATATCACTTTACTTTATGCATTTATGCAAGAAAATGTCTAGGTACTTGGTGATGATTTCTTAGGTAGTCAGACACTAGCAGGCATACCCTATGAAACTACAATTGGTATCAATACCACTAATGCCAAGTGGATTGGACTATTATTTTTGTAACAGAACTAAAATTAAAATCAATAAAACATTCATTCAAGCTCACATGATGAAATTGCAGGTAACGATTTGAAAATGGGACGAAAATCAAAGCGGAAGCACATAACTGGACCATCTTTCAAATCGAATAATTCGAAATACAACGCACGCATCAACGATGAAATCTTAATAGAAAAATCATTAGCCACTTATGATAACGGAAAGATTAAACATATCCCCGTATCACGCCGAAGAGGTCGACCACAAAGAATGTGAATTGCAACTGGATTTTCGCCCTCGGCCTTATTTCGCCCCAAGTCTTTGCTACTTTTCATCAAGCCCTGCACCGCTGAAACGAGTGTGCTATATGTGATTCCTGCAATATGGTTGTTTACTGCTCTCTAGAGCATCATCAACAGAACGTGAAATCTCATAAACAATTGTGTACGGTCGTCACCGAAATTTTCTGACGCAATCACGCATTTGACTTGGCCAAAAATTTAAATGCCGACGAATACAGAAGTTTTCGCATCGAAATGTTACACATTGTTCAAACGGCCTTAGGTCGGTGAATGGAACTTTGGGAGCGGGAAATTTTGCTCTATCCAAAACTATGCAGAGCTTGTCACGCGTCCGAGAATTTGGAGCAGTGCGACAAGGGCCTCATGGAATTTTTGAAAATGACAAACCGGATTTAATTTGTTTATTTAACCCTGGACTTTACCGAACATCAGGATTTGCCAATCAAGTTGGTATACTCTGAAATAATTTTCATTTAAACAAATTTCATTTTTAAATCAATACATTTTACTCTTTGCAGAATACTTGGCCTCTAACGATAGAAAAATTGTGTAACTATGGGGTACCTATACTAATTACATCCTATACCGAAGTAGAATCGGCTCGGCTTCGCCTCGCGGCCACTAATTACACGTACTCTGAGTCTTTTCTGTTTTTCGCGGCCTAGGGCAGTAATATACTATTACAGAAGAAAAACAAATTTCAAATTATCTTTCCCAATGATTTTTTTTCATCTCGATACTATACACACATAAAAAATACTGCTTATGATATGACAATCCCGTAAGATAACAATATTTATACTTCAATGACTTTACATAAAATGTTCTAGCAAATAGGACTAAGCTTCCAAACGTTATTTACGAAAGTGCAATTTACTTGTACATTTTATTCTACAAACTTATGAACTACATTTAATCATACTACTCGATGAACATAAAATTGCATGAAAATTGAATCGAAATTGAAATATCTTCAACTATTACATTCGTTTTAATTTTTTGATCAATTATGAGCAGTGAACTCGACGTGCTATGAAAATTATTTTTTCAAGCACCAATCATTTATTATATATAATGCAATCTTTAAGTATCAACTTATAGATATAGAACGCTCAAAAATTGTTCTCTAAAGAATTTTTGTAAGTTATTTACCTTACTTAATGAGTTAAATGAAAAGAAGAGAAAACTCCAGGAGAGGCTCCACTTTCATACACAAATTCGCCGGGATGTGTTATTCACGTTGCAAATCGCAGAATGCAAAGTACAAACTGTTTTCAATTTTCGCTCCTGATCGCAATATAGATGGCAGCGAAAGGCCTGTCAAAATTTGCTCACTATTTCATCCCACTATGTTATCAGTCGTAAATATTGTAATAGTTATTGTTACATCAGGCAGTCTTAAATTTTTTTCTTAAATTTCATCTTAAAATAGTTAACAATTCAGTTTAATAATTAAGAATAAATTTGGTCAATCTTATTTTTTGCAATATTTATGTAAATATACATAATCCCTATTACGATGATATTATCAAATTTCTTAATCTATTTCTAAAATTTTATAAAAGTTATTTGATAAACAATTGAGCATATCGCTTGCCAGCATTCCACGGTGATTCTCTGTAAAAGTAAAAGCATTCGTTTCACGAATAAGTCTTGATGCTGCATAGCAAGCAAGCATATCTGCATTTAATGTTGTCAGACTATTTTCCTCTAAAAACTTTGACAAGGAGGCATTGTTCTGCTGAGCCCACCAAGTTAATACCGATAAAGATCCAGATAGCAAATCACCTTGTCCACCACAACGTCGACCTGACCCTGACACGGAGCAACGAATGCTTACTGCATTTGAAGAGATAATATCAGATTTTCCCTTGAGAAGTACTATAGCATTTGGACCAATTTTATCAGCTACAACAATAATGAATTATGTATTATTACATTCTGTTTACTCATCCTGATAATAGAAACGTACCAAGTTCCTTGACTTGCTCATCTTTAATATCTGCACTTGGATCAATAGTTTTGTTTAAGAATTTTTTAACTAATCTACTGAATTCCATAACATTTGGAGTAAGAAAAACTTTTGAGCAATTTGATAGTAATTCTGGATTTTCACTAACTAAATATAAGCCATCAGCATCTATGATCAAAGGTTTTGAGTTAATTTTACAATAGTTTATTATTGAAGTTACAGGCCCATTTAAAATATGTGAATCTCTGCCTAAACCAGGACCAATCAGAATCACATGCAAGCGATCCAACCATGGTTCAATCAATTCGAAAGCACACTCAAGGTCCAAATAAGGTTGAACAATCAATTCTGGGCTATAAGACTTGATAGCGGTAGCTGCTTCTCTGCAGCAAAATACATATGCCAAATCAGCCCCCGTTCTTAGTGCACTCATTCCTGCATAGAACGGAGCACCAGTATACTCTACAGAACCTCCAATGATTCCAATCCTTCCATTTTGTCCTTTATGCTTATTTACATTCAAACTTGGTACCAAATATTTGGCTGCTTGTAAATAAATATCTTCTGAAGCAGTTGACATATTTGTTTTTGTGCAAAATTTAGTGAACGTCTTAGTCCTACGAAAGGATTTTGATACAAATAGCATTTGAGATAGTTATAATTTTTATTATAATTTATAGAATTTAAGAGATAAAGAGCCTATTTTTACAGACTACGCGATGACAGTACCTTTACCACTCAGCAAAGCAATAATTGTAAAAACGTCTGCTATTGTAGTAAACCGATTATATAGAATTAGGTATGAATGGCAGTAACAGGATATGAATTATTATCAGTTTAATAGTAGGTAGACCACAGGATAACCGCAAACGCTAGCAAGCGATAATGATACAATCATTCACATTATAAGCTTTTTGCAAAGTCACGTTTGAATTTCATTGGTCTTCGTTCAGTGGTCGAAATGAATCACGTTCAATCGCGAATGGCAAACATAATTTTGCACGCCTAAATACCGGTATTTTCAAAAGGTCGTTGCTACTTGTACGAAAACTGGAATTTTATCACATAAATTTATCGTACTTACAACGAACACAGACCTGGACACGTGCAGAACCGTCTTCAAATGTCTATTTCATTGACATTCGATTATCATTGTATAATATAAAGGAGTTTTGACAGCTTCTAAGGCGATGTAAACAAGAGATTTAATTGCAGAACTTGGTAAATAACTAACTGACATCTGTCATTATCGACTCCACCAACCCCCACTGCTGCAATCAACACACGTGTCAGCCGGCGTTTTTAAATTGGTCTCTGACGGTCAGCTATTGTAGACGTGTGATTCTTGATCTTGAAGCTGAAATGAATAGCTTTTTTTACATTTTTAAAAACCGCAAGCGAGGAAGTATTAATGAGTCTTTGATATGATACTGAAAATGGAATTAACGCTTCGCTCGTATAATGAATTTATGAGGTTCAAATGGAGTATTTTAACGTCGTTGGTCTTCCAAATGTTTTAAGTACGTATTGTTAAAAAAACCATTTATTTTTCTTTATTATCTTAAATCATAGTACATTATTCTCTATTTCAAATAGTTTCAATTTTACAATCGTTATTATTGTTACTATAACTATAATTACTATAATCGTGGATACCTACACAATGTAAAGTACTACATACAATTCTTAAAATCTATTTGAATAATTTTTTCTTCTTTACATAAAAATACTGCTCGTGGACAAATATTCGCCATTGAGAGCATTGACATATTATCACCGGCAATGATGCATCCTGTATTATTTTTTTCATCTTATACTTCCAACAACAAAAAATCGTTATAGTTTAACAAGATCGATTTGCCATTCTTTGTAATGATATCAATGCGTTTATAGTAATGTTTTTTTTTACAACTTTAAAATGGCAACGTACTAAGATCAAATATATTGATGTATATAGTAATATTGGTAAAAGAAATTTTTACGCTGCTTTATGAAAGCAACGCACGGATATAGAGTTAATTGTTGTATCTCTCAGGTTTTTGTTCATTCATCCAAATCAGATACTGGAAATACGATCGACGAAATTCCGTACTGATCTCATTATAATTTCAATTTACAGAGATATATATATATAATATTCGCTTCGGTAACGGGAAGATAGTACACTGTAGAACGCCGAAAAATATAGAATATTTGTTCATAGATATCTATAGAGTAACTTTGTGCTTTTATACGTAAAAGTAAACGAGTTAACTATATTTTCTGTATTATATATTTATGTAGAATTGTAAGTAGCACGTGGTGGAGCCTCATTGAAAATGACCAATCGAGGCTCGACCGATTTGAAATACGTTGCTCGAGAAACAGTATACGAGGACCTCGATACAATCCCACATTACTCATAGTTTCTGCATCATTCAACTGCACCTCGTCGAGTCCTAAGAAACGTCATACATACTAAAATACTATAACCAGGTCATTACATTCAAAACCTTAACACAATAATCTTTTGGCGTTTTATAAATATTATAAATTTTTTTCTCTCTCTCTTTTCTCATACTTGGAGTTTGATTAAATTTGCTTTTCGATCGCGCCGAGACCTGCTCGCTAAAAGATATATATAATATACGCTTGTAAAATGAACAAATTGCTTATCAATTGTATTTTTAGCTTAAAATATTCGATTGAAAAGTATACACACACAAGTAAGAACGGTATTGAGAATCGAATTCACTTGATTAAAAATATAATATTCACGCCAGTAATATAATACGTGTCTTTTTCTTTGTTTCGTTTTATCTTTATACATTAAAATATTCCGTTTTATTATATTACAGGCGCGTTTTCGACGTATCGTATAAAAAATTCACGCGTAACACATAAAATACAAACAAACTACTAATAAATGTCAATCGTCGAATCTCAATGTTCGCTCGTCAATTATAACTTACTATTGATCAAGTATTATTATTTTTTTCCTTAATTTAGTGAGTTACGCGACTATCAACGAGTTACATGTTATAAATGTATAATGTGTGAACTTTCGCCTGTAATAGACCGCGACAATCATTCATCCCAACCGAGTAGAAAATTCACACCGTAATAATACAAACTATATTAATTAATACATCACGCGGCAAATGTAACGCACTCGCATCTTTTACATAGCAATCGCACTTGTGGAGTTTTTTGTTAGTTTCTTTCTTTTTTTTCTTTTTTTTTCTTTTTTTTTTTTTAATTATCATTCAAAAATGTGACGATGAAAAAATCTGCTTTTTTGCACGTGTATAGAGGCGTGTGTAGGTGTGTTTTAATGTGAATCGAGTCTAAGTACTACGAGCACGAAGTACTACGAGTAGAAGGTCAGGACCGACGTGTTGTTGCCCCTGATGAGTAGAGTCGGCGGCATGTCGCGCGTCAGGCACTCCAGCCACGCCATGTAGAGCGGCGCCGACACTGCGCCCTTTCTTGGCATCGGTAGCGACCTGTCGACGCGAACATCGAATATCGATTCGGTTGTTAATGTTGGTTCTCGCATTGAATAAAAAAAAATATATCCTTATCAATGGTAATATACTCACATTACGACCAGCGTACTATCGCTTGAGTTTTCTAAAAGTAATTCTCTGAGCCTCAGCTGCCTGAACGTCTTGTCCCTCAGAGTGTTAAGTTCGTTTTCGGTTACTATACAGTCTGAAAAAAACATCAGATATATTGTTCACGTAATAATTATTTAACATTATTATTTTTTGAAATGATTAAAACTCACCTTCGTTATTACTATCGTCGTTGTTGCGGAAATCTGCTATTAATTTGTCGAAGAAATTTTGCGTCTCCACCTTCGGCATGACGCTTATGTCATCGACCATCTTTAAGCTCGTGTACTTTATTCGGAATTTCAACATTATCTCCGCCATTCTGAAAAACGATAATGATTAATGCTCGGTATTAGCGCGAATGATTCAACGGAAAATACGTATTATATAGCAAGTCAGAAAAGAAACCTACTCTTTTTCCTGCGCCGTGATGTCGAGTTTTTGACTTCCCAAAGCGAAGATTCTCATTTGGCAATTTTCCCACTGCGATCTATTGTTAATTATGTACGGCAATAGGACGGTCAAACCTGCACGATTGATCGAATTGTAGAAATAAAAACAAAAACAAAATTGTAAATGACAAAGAGAAAAGTCATCGTTAATTATAGAAATTAAAACTGATTCGCGTACCTCCATCGTCGTACAACCACCAAACGTCGATAACGCCAGTTTTGTGCTTCCTCTGGAAAATTGACGTGTCTTCCGGTACGGCGGGTAGAGCTCCGTTAGGCTTGTGATTCCTGCGCAAATCGATTCCGTTCCCAAGCAAGAAGTACACATTCAATCAATGTCATTTAAAGGCACTCAAAAGAGCGAGAGAGAGAGAGAGAGAGAAAACGAAAAAAAAATCTACTTACAATAAGAGTCTCTCGGCGATGTGTCTTCGTTTGTGCTTTATCTGCTCCTTATTGTTCGTCGTCGTCGTCGTAGTCGTCGTGGTTTTGCCGTTGATCGGCGAATCCTTGACCGACACCGCCTGATTGTTGGCTTCGGGTGCTATGTAATGCGTGCCTAAAATATGAAGAAAAAAAGGAGTCGTCACAGTCACGGACGTTTACGAAAACGAAAACAAACTCGCGGACATTACTTTTAGCGAGCGGCGAGAGATGTTTGTGAAAAAAATTGCCATTCGCACTGATAAAATCGTGTCTGTGCGCAAGTTTGTGTGTGTGTGTATGTGTGTGTGTGTGTGTGTGTGTGTGTGTGTGTGTGTCATTGGCGGTCGTCGCGCAAGAGGAAAAAAAAATTAGCATACCGCGTATGCATTTTTTTCATAATATAATAATAAAAAAGATCGTACGATCGTGAGTGTCCACGCCGACCGTTCTATCTCGACCGAAGTCGCTCGCTACGAGTAATATCCAGTTTTCGCCAATCAATAAGTTTGTTATTATTGCAATTGACTATATAGATACGTATATTTTTTGATAGATCGATGAAAGAAAAATAGCTTTGTCTCTTACGTGCTCCGAGAAGAAAAATTCGTTTTATGAACTGTTTAGCACCTGAATGAACAATTTATGTTTTCTGAGTTTCTTTGGTTTTTTTTTTAAATTTATTTTTAATCATTTCAAATCACTCTACTGGGAACACAGCCAAAAAAAACCAAAAAATTCGAATGAAAAATAATATAAAAAATTACAAGCTCGCAATAATATAAGCAAAAATCCACTGAATAAACAATTCCGCGCTTTAATAATAATAATACAGTAATAAAAACTGCATCGTAAAAGAAGCTTTTTTTCCAACATCTACATCACACACATCATTTCATCTCTGCATCGATATACTTGTATAGAAAAGCGATGTGATATACTGACCTATGGTCGGGACGCTCTGGACGCGGGCGATGCCGCGGCCGTTCATGGACAGGTCGCTGTCGGCGTGCATCAGCTGATTGCCCGCCAGGTCGTAGCTGCTCTGGACGAGATTGTTGCCGGCGCAGGCCTGCTGCTGCTCGGCCGCGGCGTCCTCGGCACTGCCCTGGCTGCCCGTGCTCGAGCAGTCGAGGCCCTCGGCGACGCGCAATATCGCCACGGCCAGCTTGTGATCCAACGCTTTGCTACAATGATAATGATGAATAATATCAAAGAAGATATGAGGATGACGAAAAATTGAGAGATTTAGCGGCGGCTGACTTTACGCTGATGTGTATCACTTGGAGAGGCCGCGTGATTACGTGTCCACTCTGGAGCGAGCGAGCGTATAGTGTGTAATACTTCGCGTGGCCTCGAAATTTGGAAAATCAATTCAAACGTGCAAATATGCGGACGTGCGAGCCGAGGACACGTATCGTCTCAACCAAGAAGGGAATTCCATTAAGAAAAACATTGGATGTATCATCTGTGTGTCTCGGCGTGCGATACTGCGGCACGATATCGATATATATAGATACCTCCGCGGCAATGAATTATTTGCCACGCGCGTGAAAATTAATATCGCGTAGATGTGTCCGTGTGTTTAACGAAGAAGAAAAGGAAAAGGAAGAAGAAGTCGATGAAAACGAAGAAGAAGTGAAAATGATAAAAGTCATGGACTCGTTTCGTTTATCCGCGAGAGTAAACCTAATACGCCAAGGCAAATAACGCGCAAAAACAAGTCAACCGTACGGCCGCTTAAATATAGGTATACAGGATATATCGATGTAGTCGCACGCATCTCACGCTTATACGGTACGTATACGCACACGCGTGTATATAGTCGACATCCCTCGAACCTCCCCCCGCGCCCGTATCCTTTCACTCTCTATATCTCTCTTTCAAGCGGATATCTCCATGGCAACATCTTATGACTTCATATCGACACGGCTGTGTATACCCGCACCGCCACTGAACTGTTAAAGCTCGGGCAACAGAAGCAGCAACAGCAGCGGCGGCACTATAAGCACTGGCAGCAGATGCGAGTTACATAAAAATGCCTCCTATACTCCTTCCCTCTTTTTTAATGCGCCCACAATACACCTTTTCGACCGTATACCCCAGCGTATAATGGATTTATTATTGTACTCACTGCAAGACGTTGAAATACTCGGAGAGCTCGCTGTAGCTGCAGCTGCTCCAGTGGGTCTTGTAGCCCATGAGGAGGACGTTGGGCGCCAGCTTGCCGACGCCGCAGGTCTGCATCATGGCCGAGGCGCCCTTCTCGAACGACAGCTCCTCGACCACGTGATAGAACGACTTGAGCTGGTTGTCGTCGAACCAGTTGTAGCCGTTGGTCAGGTGGCTCTGTCTGGCTTTGTACGACATGCGGGTCTGTGGTGTGGTGTCAGGGGGGCGAAAAAATGACGTCAATGATCGCGTGATGATATAATCACGCCGTGCTGACGCGGCGTAATTTTAATGCAAATATAAATGTATAAAAATCTTACCGGGTAGATCTCGCCGCAAATGAGTAGCGATTTGTTGCGCGTTATCAGGCTGGCCAAGTGCACGAGAGCCGGCCTCGACTTGGGCGCGCCAGTGAGCGCGAGTATCTGCGGACGATAATTCTTCACGTGATCGTCGATGGAGTTTAGCCTGCGGAAAAGTCACACACGTTTAGCGAGAGGAAAATAAGTTGATCGTCACACTTGCGCGGCTTAATTACGATGCGATCTTACTTGAGCGCGATGGACAGGGCAGTCTTGTAGGTCTGCGCCTGAGTACTGCTGCCCCAGTTGACGTCGGGCTTGCGATAAACGACGATCAGATAGAGGGCGAATATGATGACGAAGGTAACGAGGGACGTGGCCCAGTCGATGAGGAACATGATGGCGACGCAGGCGAAGAAGCCGACCAGCGAGACCCAAGTGTTGTAGTACTGCAATTGTCATCGTTCAACGTAACGGAAGATCGAAATATTTTTCATTTTTTTCTAATCGAAGAAGCTAAAAGGAGACATACCCTGAAGGTCGGACGCCAGCCGAGCGGCTTGATGAGCGACGCGTGGAACGTGCAGAAATTGATGAGGGCGTAGGAAGCCAGGTAGAAGTTCGATATCAGCGGTGCCACTGCGTTCAGATCGGCTGCGTTGCAACAAAAATAAAATAATCGAGCATGAGAATCCGATTAAAAATAAGAACGATTATGACGATAGAAATGATAATTACCGATGAGCAGAAAGAGGCCGGCGACGATGAAGGTGAGGACGTAGCCGCGATAGGGCTCGCCGTGCTTGCCGTAGCCCTTGGCGAAGAAGCTGAAGCCCGGATAGATGCAGTCCTGGCCCATGGCCTGTATGAGGCGCGGCACCGACAGCAGATTCGTCAGGGCGGTCGACAGGGTGGCGGCGAAGCAGCCCGCGTAGATGAAGGGACCCCAGACCGACATGACCTGCATCATCGAGTAGCTGTTGTGCAGGCCGTAGGGGCAGTCCTGGGCGGCGAGGCACTCGGCCAGGGTGCGATTGGCGGCGCCGGCCGTGGCCCAGCCGGGCGCGTCGCGCGCCGCTGCACCGCCCGCGAAGAACACGAAGGTCACGTAGCTGACCATGGATATGAGCAGCGCGAGGAGCGTGCCCGAGGGTATGCTGCTCGCCGGGTCCTTGAGATCGCCCGAGATGTTGGCGCCGGCCTGGATGCCCGTGACCGACGGGAAGAAGATGGCGAAGACCGAGAAGAAGGTCTGGTTCTTGCCCTCGTTGAAGCGATAGTCCGGCATCCAGTTGTCCATCATCACCTGGCCGGAGAAGCCGGTGAAGCCCTTGGCGCGCTGCTCGGCCTCGTAGGCGCCATTCGGACCGATGCACGTGCCGATGATGAAGTCGAAGATCGCCCCAACGATGATCGCCACGAGGAAGTTCTGGGCCTTGGACTCCCACTCCATGCCGACGGCGCAGATGAGAATCATCACGATGATGGCGACGATGCCGATGATCCGGACGTCGTTCACGCCGTTGTCGATGATCTTGAGGCCGTGCTCCTTCAGCAGCTCGTTCAGCGAGTCCACGAAGCCGATCGTGTTCATGGAGGCCGCGACGGCGTTGGCGAAGGCGAACACGATGCCCACCGAGGCGCCGAATTCGGGCCCGAGCGAGCGCGAGATTATGAAGTAGATGCCCCCTGCGAGCGACCGATGCACAATTATTATTATAATTATCATGTGTGTGTGTGTGCGTCGTATTATACGGTATAGCCTAGACTGCTTCCTCCATTCCACTCTTTCTTTCTGTATTTTTTTTTCTTTCAATTAAAAAAGTACGTCGCGCTTGCACACGCGATCAGGTACATATCCTATACTCCCATCGATACACAGAAGAACAGAGGAACTCTCTCTACCCTGTAACCTGTGTGTATATATATAAAGCTTTTAATTAATTCCTCTGCTGCTTTTGCGGGGTGTGGCGATCGATGTAAGAGCCGAGCTATATAGAGAGCGCGTGCGGACGTGATGTATCGATTTTTCAAAAAACGGACAGAGCAACGTCGACGACGCGATGCGTTTACTTTTGCAAAATTTCGAATTATTATTATTGTTGTTATTGTTGATGAACGATGTGTGGCGCATGCGAAAAAACGATTATTATTCAGGCACACGCGTCGATTTTAATCCTTTGAGTTTAACTTATAACTCTTATAAATAGGTATCGGTGAGAACCGAATAGCCAATTGCGCAACACACAAAAATCAAACAGAAAGATATACTTTTCAAAACTTTTCAAAACTGTATTTATATAGAATCATTGTCACTTTGATACTTGTAGATTAACAAATAAAGATACTCGCCATCTAGTGGTGAAAGCCGACATTAATTATATTTGAACCTGAGTTACTTTTGACTCGAGTCGAAATGATATAAAGTGACATAGCAACTTTTTTCAAGCACGACTGCAAAATTGACGCGTGCGTAGAGCGTCTGAAATTTAATAGTTTTCATAAATTTTCTGAGTAATGGCAAAAACAAAATCAATATTAAAACATTTTGGAGAAAAATTGAATACGAAAGTACTTTAAATAAAACTCAGTATCGTTAGCGTTGATTTTTAAGTTTTTTTAACAGTGTACGTAGTAATAGATATTTATGTTCAACGCGTGCGTTACATTACATCGCATGAATCGAAGTCATGCATGGGGATGACGTACGTGTATAAATCATCGTATTACATGTGCACCCATTGCGTTGCACCGCAGTCGAGGCAATTTTTTTTTACTTTTACAAACATCCTCTGGAGACACTCCTTCTCGCATAGTTGCATACGTACGCGCACGTATTTATCTAAACGAGACGGGCATGGGGGACAGTTGGATCGTCTTATAATATACCCTCGCGTCTTCTGCGGAGAAAAGTTTTTTTTTTTCTCTCCCATCTTCCTCCCTTGCCGCAAACGCACGTATACGGTATTTATACGAGCGAGAGAGCTAATTTTTTGTCGATATAGCTACTTTTAGCCAATAAATGTGTAGCGGCAAGAAGAGAGAGAAAAAAGTCTCTCTTTCACTGATCTTTCGTTATTATAGGCCTGTTATATACGCTGTGGCAGCTCGGCGCACGTGTACGCGCGTAAACATTCGACGTTTGCTTCCACCCTCTATATATGTAGTACCTGACTCGTGAGGCGCGACGCATAAGAAAATAATAATAAACGGCAACGATAATAATAATAATAATACCAACGATATAATGCTAAAGAAGAAGATATCGCAGGCGCACGCACACGTACCACACCCTGCGGCGATAGTGCGCTCGATAAATAATAAAATATAACATTCATATTGTATATATCTGCTGCGAAGTCGGATTATGGACTATGCATTTGGCAACTCGTATATGAACTCACCTCCTTTGACTTCGCCGTTGGTGCTGATGGCGCTCAGGCTGAGCGTCGTGATGACGCAGACGGCCGCCGATATGCCGATGATGATGCAGCTGTGCATGATGCCGGCCTGGGCCACGACCCACGACAGCCGCAGAAACAGCATGACGCCCCAGATGTTGAGCAGGCATGGTATGAGCACGCCCTGGATCCAGCCGAGCTTGATGCCCACGTGGCTGGGCTGGCCGTTGGCCGACTGCTGGCCCGAGTCGCTCACCGATCGGCCGCCGTAGCCGCTGCCGCTCAGCTGGTCCGCGGCGAAGCCCGACTCGACGTTCGCGATGTTCAAGTCCTGCGGGCCGAAAAAGAGGCAAAAAAAAGTAATGCACGAGAATTAGCGAGTCAAATTTATACGAATTCATGTAGAGAAGATGAAATAAAATACATGTACGATGCAGCAGTCAGGAGAGACAATTACACGCGTGGGCGTGTGCATATACTTGTGTGTGTGTGTGTGTGGAGAGAATCGATAAATCATAGACGCGAGGTAGCAGCGGCATTATTATACTCGAGTCGCACGAGTTAACTCGCGCGCTAAGTTCACGAGTCAAGTGTATATGAACCTCGAATGTGCCCGTTATATATAGGTACACGTATACATATAATATACCGGAGATCCGCAGAGGCGTTTTATAAGGGCACAGCCGAGTCGAAAGCTCGAGACACAGCAGCAGTTAAAGCACTCGACGTTGTTGTTCGGCATATAAGAGGGAGAAAGAGAGGATGATCACGTGCCGACACTCTCGCTTTCGCTATAGGCTATATATATACAGCTGAGCTTTGCTGCTGCTGCTGCTGCTCCATCGCAGCTGAAGAGAACAACTCTCGAGAGTCAGGGTCGAGAGACGCGCGACTTTCCGCCTTTTTTTCTTTCCCTTCCGACTATTTTTTATTCGCCTGTACGCGATACTTGCGCGCCTATGTACAATATATGCTTCGATGACTTTACGAATGAATGCGTACAACACCTTTCCAATGATTTCGGAAAAAAAATTGACCTTAGTTTCATTTTAAGTTACGTTTCCCTCTAGCTCTAATAGAAACCAATATGTAATATACTACCAAATGCGTTAAAACTTGCATATTTGTAAATATGTGAAACTTTTGAGAAATTATTATACTACCGAAATGTGTTTACCATTTGCGAGTTTTCAATACGCCATCTAGTGATAAAATCAGAAAACTCACAATCAAATATAATACATATTATTGAAATTTTTTGTTACAATACACAATGAATACCGGAATAATATCCCTTACATTTTCCAAAAAAAATATAGCTCATGAAAAAAAAAATTATTCATAGTTACGTTTAAGAACAACATAATAAAAAATTATCACTGTGCGCTTAAGACTCTCACTAAAAAGTTTTCATTCCTATGATTACCGCCTTTTTTACGGATTATTTCCCTATTTCAAACGTCCAATAAGAATAATTTCACATTAAATTCAAAAGCTAAATTGTTTTGCTCGAATGATATTCAACATTCAGTCAAGCTTTCCGGTGCTCTCTTCGATGCGAGTGCGTTCGAGCTCGCAAAAAAGAAGGTAAATATAAAGTAAATAAGTAAACCGCGAGATTGCCGCAGAGCAATAGCATCCGCTTTGACGCGGCCGCAAGTGAGCGAAATGAGAAAATTAGTTTGATTGCGTGCGGCGTAGATGCGATAAATATTTTTCAAATCTAAAAGAGGAAAAAACGAAGGTGCAACTGATTCACTTATGGGCATCTGCGTGTGTAAGTATGACGCTCGAGCTTTTATTTCATCTCACGACGCGATCAAGCTCGAATGTAAGTACTACGCACCCACACATGAACGCACCATGGAGTCCAACAGCCTCTTCTCTACATTTTCCAGAGCTCCTTGCTCTTTCTCCCTCTCTCTTTGCTTTGTTTCTCGAGCTTTCCTATTCCTTTCTTTTTGGTTCAACCCTCCGAGAGGGGAATGCGCCTATATAATAATCCGTTGAACCACGCGCTACGATGGCATATTTTACTCCAACTGTCGAGCTTTGCTGCCGCTGCCGCTGGCCACGTGGGAGACAGTCGGTCTAGACGCGCATAGCATAGCAAACACACACACACACACACACACACACACACACACACACACACGTGTGCAGAACGAAGAAAAAAAAGGAAAAAAGGAAAAGGAGGCTTGTGTATACGTATGCGCGTATATGAAGCGGCGCGGACGCGAACAATTTCATTTCGACGACGAGATATCGTATCTGCGCTTGTTTCTTTATTAAATTATTTCGTATATATACACCGCTGCGTGTATATGATACGCGTATATACCTACGCATCTACCATGTGTGTGTGTGTGTGTGTGTGCGTGCAAGCGAGGGTGTATCGACCGACTCCGCGAGAGCACATCGTGACTGCGAGGCCAGCATAGTGCTTTTCAAAAGTAAATAATGCACCGCGAAAATTGCGTTGCCGAGTTGTTGCTTTATTTTTATACTCTTTGCAAAAACGAAAATTGCATCGAGTAAAGCTCTATAGTACCTCTAACTATAACTGATAATTGATCGTTTAGCGAAGAAGAAAAAAGAGCCCAATCGTCCGTTACTTTGTATACAATATCGTCGCGCGCGTCGTGGCCAAAACCTTGAAAATAAAGCAAAAAACGCGAAATAAAGAAAAAAAAAACAGTCGCTCAAAGTCGTGGATAAATACTCGATCAACACGACTGCTGCTGTCTCGTTCACGTATTTTTTTTGTGCTCGAGACTCAAACTTGAAAAAATCAAACGAGCTGATTGTCCGCGGCTCGGAAAGTATAATTGTCACGAGGAAGAGAACTTCTAAGCGTAATATAATGTATGCCGTTCTAATCTAATTTCGCGTGGATCTCACAGTACCCAAGGATTTTTCAATCGCTCGTGATGCTGCGCACTATACTTGAAAACGAGCCCGTACAACGGCACGCGTTGCAACGGCAAAATGCAAAAACAGCCGAAGACGATGAACAAGAAGAAGAACAAATACCGCACGAGTCGCGTACGCCGCTGAAATCCAATATTCGAGCCCAGAAGTTTTTAATTAAAATAAACAGAAAACGGAAAACGTCTCCTCGTATCGATTATTTTCCTTCGCGTTCTCCTTTTCTTTCTCTCTCTATCACTAGATCCTCTCTTTTTTTTTGCATTCAGCTCCCAGAATGACAACATACCTATAGCATCAACAACGAGTCAAGTAAGAGAGAGAGAAAGGTCGAATAGATTGATTGATTGATAGAGAAAAAGAGATCTACACACGTAAGTTGTGCGCTCGAGTAATGGTACCGACGTACATATACTGTGTCCAGCTCCACGCACACACAAACACATGTATAAGACAGAGTAGAGTAGAAAAAAAGCGTCATACAGAATTGACTTTTCGTCTATATATATTGTGGACGACTACACGTAAAAGTGCCTATAGGCTATGCTACTTACCCGAGAGAGATTACCCTCGTGCAATTCCGCCAATGATGGACGCTTCGCTCGTCTGCTTAGCCTGGAGAAATGAAAAAATAAAAATAAATAAATAACAATAAAGTATGTAACATCGATTTTGACGTGTACTATTATGGTTTCATTCATGCCCCGGCTATTGCTGAATTTTATTTTTATCGGCCTACGACTATATTTGTACAACACCACCACCTCCACGACGTCCTTTTGTGCGCGCTTGTAATACATAAATACCGAGATCCAATTGCCGAGTGTAGGGTCGCCGGGGATCTATTATTTTTTGATTATTAACCCGATCCTTGTCGCACACGAGAAAGGGAGAGGGAAATCAAACCGAGATATCGTATATCTAAGAAAAAGATTTACATTGAAAAATTTTACGACTCGAGATGCAGAGAGAAAGTTCTTCTTTTTGTCAGGGAGATTTTTTACTTCGCAGCGGCGGGTCTTAAATGAATTGTTTGTCACGCCGAAGAATAGAAAAAGAAACTTTGCGGACGATGAAAAATAAAAAAAAAAGGAAAGGAACTGCACCCAAGATGGAGTTGTCACACGCGCTCAACTACACCAGTCGCGCGCGCGCGGGTAATGCGATTTAAGAGAAGTATAAAGTAAAGGGGGTGTAAAAAAAAGTACGAGGTAAAAACAAACTTACAAAAACTCGATTTTGATCTTTGAAAGTAGGTTATATGGGATGCCTTCTTTTTTAGCCTCTTATTCAAAAGCCTTAAGTTTAGTTAAGATACTTTGCGAAGGGTAAAGGCGCGCGCGGATCAAGGTTGTCTCCCCCGTTCGACGCGTACACGCACATGTACAATACTGCACAAACACAAACGCACACACGTGTACATGTACGAGCTTACAAGGGGGAGAGAAACTTTCTCTCTCTTTTTTCCTCTTTACAGATGCTTGGACAATGACCAAGTTATGAATTATTTACGGACGAGAAAAAGAAAACAAAAGGAAAACATCGCTTTGCCGCGCGCGCGGCGCAATACAGAGAGAGATTATATCGGGATAAAACGTTATGCAGTCACAAATTGGAATTTACCGCGCGATAGATACGCATTGGCAGTTTTCGATTTTTTTTATTCTTTTTTTTTTTTGTACGAAAGATTTATCGCTCTTGGGGAAAGTTTCGTTTTTTTTTCTTCCTGCTGCGTTTCAGCCGCTTAGCTCGAACGTCGCGTAAAGCGAGTTTGGGATTTTTCCTATCTCTAAGGCACTCTCTTTTCTTTTTGTCTCGGTCGCTTATGCCAGTAAGATTAAAAAATTCATCGGTTTAAATTACCCGATAAAGATCGCGTTTGTGGTGGTGGTGAACGAATTATCGGTAGTCGAGAAACACAAAAGGATATATAATAACTCACCTGTAATGATCAAGGCGGGGATAGACGTCCCATGCGTTGACGTTCAGCGATATCGCCGGCCTCTTGTTCATGGTTATTTGGTCGTTCCCTTCGACGACATTGGCCTGGAATCGTCCCTCCATACCGAGTCTGTAACCATAAATCAGAAAGAAAAGGCCTAGCGTTAGTTTAGTGTGTACATAGCAGCGGCAAATTGTATACATAGAGATGTCGAGTCTCCGTTTTTCCGCGCGGGTAATTTTCGCGCGCACGTTCAGTTAAACGTAAGCAATTTTGCGACGTCGTCGTCGTAGAGCTGCGAAGTTATTTATTTATTTTTGTCGTTTGCTGCAGCAACTTTTGAAGTGCAAATTCGTCGTGTATTTGCATTTAAATTTGCACCTTTTTTTTTTAAAGCATCGGAATTGCAATCAAGGATGTGCAACTTTTACTCTCTAAAAATCTGTATGAAAACAGGAGCAAGAAAAATTCAGCGATCACTCCTTTTCCGTACAGTTATAAATGGAAATAGGAATTGCGGTTCTCGAGATATAAAGACATCCTCGTTCCGAAGCCATCGATATCATCGTATTATTCGTATATAGTTTCTCGATCTATCTCTCAGCTGCGAGTTTCGCATGGATAATAATGCACCTCTAGTGCAGCAGCGGGTCCCGCGTGTCACGTATATCATGTGTGACGAGATTATATTATATTAAAACATAGAGCTGCCGATATGAACAATTATATAATTGAAAAAGTTTTTCCTTCCAATTCGTGCATAGTTTACAGACGAGTTCATGTGTAATGCTGAATATCTTATCGCGATTTCACACAAAACTCAAAAGTTAGTATGAATCAAAAAAATCGATGCATCTGTACGTATCAATATTTTTATCCACGAGACGATTCACGGTCGCTCATGGCTTTTGCGCTAGCCGTCTACTTTGTCTGCTACAGATTATTATCGCCTCGAGCGCGTATAAGTACGATATAATACGCGGGAGCTTGATATCGAATTTAATCGGAAGCCTATATGGTATATAGCCTCTCGCTCGGTGTACACGATTTTTTCGAGAGGGGGCAGATATGTGCTGTATAGTACGCTAAGATGGGTCGAACTCTCTTGCGGTTTTACGACACGGCCACGAGAGTTCATATCCGTCGCGCACGTGCCGCTCGCTTGTCTCCTACTTATATATTGTTTACTGTCTTTGATTCCTCCGGAGCCCGCGTGTGCTTTATACTATAGCGCACATATAAATACATCGCAATACAAGATGTATAGATATAGAAGCATCATAAAAAAGAAAGAAGAAGCTTCATTCACTTAATACGTCTTAAAACGTTTCGCTCGAGTAAATCATTATGTACATACGGTGTTTATATATTATATACGATATACGTATACCTATACGGCACGCAAAGCCTTGTCGGAGCTTTTTTGCGGCCAGCTTTATGCATATATAGCGCATGGAATTTTGTGGAAGCTTTAATGTCGTTACATAAATTGTCCTTTATGTATGTCACGCGGGCATCATCGACGAATATATAATAATAACAATAAATGGAAAATTGTAAAATCATCGTGGAGAAGTTGTCGGGGTGATACAGTTTTATCGATACACGAAACGTAAACATTCGTATAGGAACTACGGCGTCTACTCTTGATTGCGTTATGAACGTAATGAAAAAAAATGACCGCGGCAGAGCTTCTTAGAATTTCGCGCGAGTTTTTGTATGAGTAGAGTGTCAGTGTGTATGTGTGTGCATATAACAGTGTGCGCGTGACGCAATTATCGTTATCAAAAGCGACGCATCATCGTTTATATGACGCGGTATAGCATGAGCGGCGGCGTGCTCAATTTCATCGCTATACGATAATAAGGACTTTTTTCTTCCTTTTCGGCGACTCCGGTGTATAAATAAAAGCAGCATTAATAACAATACTGAGCAGATAATTTGGGTATTGCGACGATCGGATGGTACTTTAACACCAATATAAAATAAAACTTTTTTTTGCTAACACAAAAAGTTAAAAAAAACGTAAAATCAAAGGACTTTGCTATGAGCTCAGTATAATATAACTCGAAAGATTGGAAAAATGCCGATGATAAAATTGTTATTATTCTGGTCGATGGTTCTTCGATCATTGCGTGCAAGATCTGTGCTCAGCACGCACATATAACATATTATACACACACACACACACATGCACGCGATTTGGCGACGGAAAAGTTAGAAAACAAAAATCATTGTCGAAGCGTCTAAAAAATCGGCAGTCGACGTCGATCCACAAGCGGCACTTACCTACCCAGCGTACTCTCGTTAATGAAAAATATTTTTTTTATTTCAGCTCGAATCCAAAATAAACGCGCTTGTAAAAGTATAAAAAAACTGTGGCGATCGCGAGCTTTTCTTCTCCGCGCGTATAGACAGGACAGTTTCAACGTCGAAATTCTCGCTCGCGCGCACTATAACCCTGTATACAGAGAGCGAGCGTATAGTAGCGATGAAACGACGCTCGCATGCGATCTCCCGTTTATACGCATATATAATACAAGTTCGTGTGTGCGTACGTTTATCGAGAAGAGCTTGCGCGCGTACTGCAAGATATATGGACGCGTTCGAGCTTCAATGGTATACATATATGTGTATGGTTACTTTGACCCTCGTATAAAAAGGATACGTTCTCTTTCTCTCTCGGGAAATTGGGTCAAAGATCTCCAAATTGACGACCTACATATAACATTAAGCACGTATATACGTACAGTAAAACGCTGCTGCCGCGCGAGGTACCGTATATCGAAACCTCGAAGGGATGCTTATACACCGCACGCCATACATGTATGGGATATCTTTTAGCGTTATTAAAGCCAATGAAAACTATATGTATTACACATAGAGAGACGTGTCGGCGGTGTACCAACATGTTGTATATTGGATACGGTGGCTGCCATACACACACGAGCATAAACACTCCGCGTGTGCGGTTGAATCAGTTTTTCCCCTGCTTAAAACGTGTTCGCACATCTATACACGTATAGCAATAACTGTTTAGATTACATCTCCATCTATCTCTCTCTTTTTGCAATCGCACGTGTAGTGCTGTGTATAGACGACGTGCCACCTTGAGCTTATTACTCTCGAAGAAGAAGCGAGAGATTGCGCGGCAACGGGCAAATATACATCGGCGTATATCGTACACACATTTTATCTTTACAGATTTTTTGCCACGGAATTCCCGCGAGTGCCAATGCGAGAGCGACTCTTTGAGGAACATACAATCAATCATCCATACCGAAAAACAAAAAACAAAAAATAGAAACACACTAACTCACATACGAGAATATAAGTAAGTAAGGCGCGAACGGAAGAAAAAATGGCTCACTAAATCATCGCGCGCGCGCGCTCGCGTCTGTTTTGAAGAAATCGCTGTCAAGGTCGCGAGCGCAAAACGGTTCAGCAGCTGCCCATTTAACGGCGCGCGCGAGCTTGCGGCCGATCGGCGAGAGATCGGCTCGCGACTTCCTCTCTCTCTCTCTCTCTCTCCCCGTAGCGCATTCCACCGCAGCCGCCGCGATGATCGAGTGTGGCACGCGAGCTACTTCTTCGTCTTCGCCGTGCCGCGATGATGATTATTTATAGGCCTCGAGATCGTGCGAGTGGTATGTATGTATGTGGAAAAAGCTCGAAGCGAGCTTAACCGAAATTTTTGGGAGCTTCCGTTCGGTGCGTGCGCACTCGCACAAACACGCAGCGGCAGCAGCATTAAACATACGACTGTGTGTGTATGCGTGTAATGGATCGCAGCTGATTCAATACACTGTGTGCAAGTTTATACGCATACATCATCACATAGCTATATAGCTTTCAGCCTAAACTTATAGTTAGCAGTTAGAGCGCTTGGAACAAACAGCGACGCGTGCCACTGCACGTGTTATAAGTTAGTTAATATATATATAATGCACTACTCTCGCTGTTGCTGCGGTTTTGTATATGTGTGCGTCGTGCGTGCGACAGGTGGGAATTTCCGGTCGTTAAGTAGATACGAGAATTCCGCGCGAGCGCAAGATCTATATGCCTTCATCAGCTTTGTCATTTCATGCACCGACCGACTTTTCGTCGTTCGTTTGTTCTTTCTTGATACTTTGCCAATTATTTTGCGTGCATCGGCCCGCGTTATATTGTAAAGCTCGATTTGCCGCGCGAGATGATTTGCTACGTTAATTGCAAGCCCTTGGAGCTGCGTGCCCCGAGCTTTTTTTTAATTATTATTATTATAAAAATCATCTCGATGTGCGCGCCTTGATTCAAGGTTTGAAAGCACAGATATATACATCACGAAGAAAGAGAGAGTGAGAGTGAGAGTGAGATCGAGGTCGTGATTTATTTATCTTTCTTTTTTTTTCTCTCTTTCTTTTCTCGTAACGGAGCTCTCTTGCGCATAAGCAGCAGCAGCAGCAACAGCTTATAATTGTGTGCACATAAGCAAAAGAAGATGATAAGTGATGGATGATCGCGTTTATTTGATGATGTATTACGCGGACGGCGATTATTCACGTCACGCAATTATATTATTGCGCGTTCGCGCGCAGGCTTGCGCGGGTCTCCCTCTCGCCGTCATCCTGAATGTGCACGCGCGCGCCCTATACCCACCTAACTAACCAGCTAACGGCTTTTCGCAATGCAGAGTGCCTGTGTTATACTTATTTATTACGTTATTTATAGGGTGAAAATAGAATAATCTTATTATGACGTTATAACGTGAGTGTATATATATATCGAGGCTTGTTACAAGAATGGAACCTCTCTCTCTCTCTCTCGACTTTTAGAGCCCAGCCAGCCAGCGAGCGAGCTTGCGAGTTATAATTGAAAATTAATTGGGAATCCTCGAAGCTTCGAGGATGTACGGATACGTAACAGCCTGTATATAAATTTATATATTATATTATACGTACGTTACACGTCGAGTATGTATACATTATTAATGGCGATACATTTATTTATGCGCGTGTGTATGTGTGTGACGAAGCGCACTATTAGAATGCCAGGTCTCGCGTGTGTGCAAGTTACGTGCCGCGCATTTATTACAAGCCGCGAGCTTCGATTTGTAGCCGAGCGCGTTAAAACACTGTATGTACACATGTTATACGCGCTACATAACATACGCAACAACGTCTAAAAGCGCGGATGGATGACAGCAGCTTGTAATGATATAAAAGCTCGATCGCGAAACGATCGTGCGCAGCCCGGCAGCTCAGCAGCTTTGACAATCTGCCAAACTTTACGCGTGCGAGATTATTCTCTCCGCTGAGCGTGACTTTATGTGTTATTGTTGTTGTTTTTTGCTGCCGATGTTGTTATTGTATATAAAAGCGAGTGCATTAGCCCCGTGAATTTGTTCGTTTGTATATTATTTACCCAACTACGTTCGAGGATTACACGGTATTATATTCTCGCGTTGGATACGCGTGACTCGAGTCGACGCGGCCTGGATCAAATGCGAGGGAGAAAAAAAACGAGAACAGTATCGTAAATACGCTCGGCATTTACACTGTATAATATAAACTGGGTGCGTGAGGCTGCATAGGTAATGATCATTATATAAAAAAGACGAATATAATTGGTAGCATCGATGTGCGCGAGAAAACCCAATGATGTATAGCGCGATAAAAACACACATGCGTGTTGTCATATAAAAACGCGATGACGACGACGACGACGATAACGAAGAAGAAGAAGGTGGAAAAAGAAAAAGAAGAGGCTTTTATATTACGGGCGTGCACCGTAGCGCTCGGTTGTATCCGGTAAAAGCTAGAATATCTGCGCGACAAATTAATTGTTATTATCGCTATTCTTTTCTCCTTGTCTCTCTCCTCTTCTTTTTTTTTTTATTAATCCCCCACTACCTGCGGTATATACATGATACGCACCTATATAGCTATGAGCTGACTATATAGCCCCGAGAGCTGCCTCTTATCGTTTTAACTGATCGCATTTTCCCGGAGCGCGCGATGACGATATCGTCATTAAATTCGCGCGCCTCGATAATAATGCAATGTGTATAATAATAATATATATGAGCGATACAGTCGTCATCGCGTCTCGCGTATATATAATACACCTACACGAATCTGGAGAATTTTTTTTACGGGCTACCGAGGAGCTTTTCATACCTATGTATGTATATACCTGGAAAACGCTCGATGACGCGTCGGGCGCGTATATAAAACTGCACGGTACCGCGCGAAAAGCTCGACGTAAAAACGTCACGTTGCGTAGGCACGCGCGCGTATATACCTGCTGAATTTTAACACGCGTTTCCGTATAGCTCGTTTATGGCTCGTTTATCATAGCGTTGTTTGTTTGATGTATCGTGAACGCGAAAAAGCTCGTCCCGAGAAAACTCCCCGGCCAACGCCAGCCCAAATGATCATTTTTCTCCAATTGATTCGATAATAAAAAGGATGGAATTTACTAACGTTGCGATGATCGGCGATTCGTAATCGCTCCGCCACAATCAAGCGATATTATTATATAGTATACCCGTGCGCACGTGTGTGTGTGTGCTTGTACGCCACTCGAAATTTCGAGTGCTCGCGCGGTTGTAACCGATGAGGAATGATACGCTTTTATTGATATTGATATTCGCGCAATAGCTTATCGCGCTCGCCGCGCGCGAATATATTTAATGTACTCATTAAAAAGTGTATTCGTGTTTGTATTATTTACATGCCGACTCTATCGTACCTATTCGGGATTTAACCGGATTCGCATCGAACGGGTACTCGGAAACGCGACGCGATCGATACCTCAATGCTTAGCTGCGCGCGCGTGCGATATAATAATAATGAAGTAATTGTTATTGTGCGTCTGGAATAAAAAAAATTGAAAGGAAGAAAAAACTCGATTCGCGATAAGTCCGATGGATGGATGTAACGAAAAAAAGTTCGAGATTAAGCCGTGCGTTAAGATAGGCGGACGCGTATATAGGTAAAACAAGACGTTACATGTAGGCACCGAGCTATTGACTTTGCTCTTCCGGGCCGCGTCCGAGATGCGTACACATACGTAGTAGTACAAATAAATCTTGCTCGCGAGCTTGCAGCGCGGCGCGCACGTACGTATACGTATATATGTAGTGCAGCTTTTCTCTGCCGCGCAGCAGCCGAGAGCGTCTGCGTGCGTGTGTATTATTAATAATAAATCGGTAAAATCTGCGTGACTTTCGGGCACTCGAGATCGATTTCGAGAGCGCAAGGAAAGGTAGAGGATTTCATATACAGTTTTGCGACAGAGAGAGAGAGAGAGAGAGAGAGATTCCATTAAAATTTCTCGGAAGGATGGAAACGCGTGTAAATACGAGCGAGAAAGGGAAAACTGATCTTCCACCCTGAGTGCAAAGGAAGTGAGAGAAGGACAGAGATAGAGAGACTTTCGGAAAAAGGATATAGTATTTCTCGAGATTGATAATGAAATAACGAAGGAGAGTGAGAGAGAGAAATCGATGCATTAGCTCGTCTCGAGAGACAAACGAAGAAGAAGAAAACAATTTTCCTAAAGTTTCGCGTTCGTGCGGCGCTTCACTCCGATGTTATTAGCTATATATACGTTAGTAGAGTAGAGCCCGGAGGCTATACGCGCGACTCGATATAAAAAAAAAATCGTATATCAGGCTGATCAGCTCTTTTCCTCGCGATCAAGCTCGACGTAAAAGTGGACGAGCTTTAATTCAAAATTTCTATAATGCTTTTCAAAAAAAAGCTGTGCTCGTGCGAGACGCGTATCGCAATGTTTACCTTTTATAATGTAGAGAGATCGATAAAAAAAAACAACACAAAATTAATTTTTCATACGAATCGCGTTACGTCTCGCGAGTGTATGTAGGCGCGATCCGCCGTGGCACACGTGGTGCACGTGTATCGCGACGCAAGTGCGTATCATGTACATGTTTACATACAGGGCGTTCGTATAAAGCGACGCATAATATTGTATATACACGGGCGCGACGCGCGTATAAACGTCGATAATAATCGGACACTTTTACGGTTTTTAAAGACCCGTCAGTTTTTTATTTCATTGATCTCTCGAGGCGAATTCGATCGGAACGCGTGTAAAAGAGAGAGATACGATCGAATTCCATGAAAATAAAAGATCTAACTGCTTTATAGACCAACAATTATAAAATAATAAATAACGTAATAAATAATGTAATAAATAACAAACGAAAAAGTTGAAGCGTAGATTCGTATCGATGTTTTTGTTTGTTAAACTGAAAAGGCTATATTAAATCGAAGCGAAACTTGTCGTCGTACATCTATTGAATTTTATTTATCCTCGAATCCGCGCGCTAATCAATCTATAACGCGCGATTAAAGCGTCGCGAGCAAGTGAGAAAGGAAGAAAGAGAGGAAGAGAAAGAAAGAGCGAGTAAGAGAGCGAGAGCTGTTTACCGCGCGCGCGTCGATCGAAATCCCAAAAGAGCCACCGAGACCTTGAATTTTCACCGCTCATTGAGAGAGAGGCTGAACTGAGCGCCCGAAGTAAATACATGTTATACGTAATCGAATGGTTTTAATAAAAGGAAAAAAAGAAGAAGAAGTTAACATCGGGTCGTGCGAAATATCCAATGTAAACAAACGCTCACTTACATGTATACACAGGTCAAGGGGGAGAGAGAGACAGAAAACTGGTCATATCATTAGCCATAAATCTATCGCGACCCACCCCGTTGCGACTCACACACATGCACGCACACATTTATATACACGTGCAAACACATTTACAAACTTACACACGCACACACACACACATACGTACTAGCGATATGAAAATTACGTAATAAGTCCTGGGTGGAAGCAGGACTGCGTATATATACCGTGTGTCTCGTTATATTATTATGCATTAGGTATATCAGAAACACGAAATGATGTACACACGCGCGCAATGTCGCGCACATATAGACGAAGCGAGAGAGAAAAAGGAGAAGAAACGAATCGGTGGATATATAATAGTGTCGCGAGAGCTTACGACTATATAATAACGAGAAATCAAAGCTCCGGAATAATAACTCATTATTAATTATGTTAAAGTGCGTACGATGTTTTTGTCGCAATAATAAAATATCAAACGATTATATGACTCGATATCGCTTATTCCGTTATGCAATGCAACTCTTCGGGCTCTCTCTCGATTCTATGTGCTGCACTCAGCTTTTCTGCTGCTGCTTCACGCGTGTTTATATGCGTTCATTATATATGTATGCTCTATAATACGTGAAAAAAAAAGTTGGCGAATTTCTTCTTTTGCTCTCTCTCTCTCTCTCTCTTTAGCTGTCTGCAAATTGCACACACCTGCACCTGCCGAGTGTATACAGTTGCATAAATAAATACAGGCATGGACGAAGGGGGAGCAGTAGCGAGAGAGAGAGAAACTACGCGATCTCGCGCGCGTGGCACAGGGAAAAGAAGTTTTTACTTTTTTTTTTCTTAAATTTTCTTCTCGACTGCTTGTGTATATATTCACGCTATATATGTGACGTATATACATCAGGAGACTTGCATAACGTATGGAAACGACCAAATGTGCTTTTACGCGCACGTCTGTGTGTGTGTGTGTGTGCATCGAGTGAGTGTATGTGTGTGTGTGTGCTTTTACTTAGTTGCTCTATGGAAAAATCTGTGTGTGATGCCACTGCCACGCGCAATGCTTTTGCTGCTGCTGCTTATTTGCCACTGAAAATACACTTTTAACGATCTTGAATCGACGAATTATCGGTCTTTATAAAAGCTGCGCCGCGTGAGCGAGCTTCCATGTGTGTACGTGCCCGTGTGTACGCGCACTTGCTCGAAATAGAATTTTCAAATGGAATATATCGAACGCGAATAAAAGAGAGAGAGAGAGAGATTCATCGATCTGAATTTAGATGCTTATTTAGTCGAATTATCATTTACCGAGCTCGATCTTTTCTGCCGCTATACGCCGTGATGACGGTGGTTTGTGATTCCAGCTTTTGTCGTTTTTTAATTTTCGCTCTGCTCCTCTCTCAGCGTCTCTCGGTGGATTATTACTTCGACGTCGAGCTCGAGTGAAAAGATCACCGGGCTTCGGTGACTCTGGTGGTTGACCACATGCGTCGAGTACTTGGTTTATAACACCACTTCGTAATATATACAACGCGCGTCGAGCTTGCGATACTACTTTTTTTCTCTTACGTTAACACAGAACTTTTTCTTCCGTTCATACACTACAAACTAATGTCGATACTTTCTCCGGCAACCAAAAAAAGTTCAAAATAAAAAATTCAAACCAAAAGGAAAAACAAGAAAAAAAAACAGAAAAAAAGTAAAGAAAATCGGCGAGTGTAAATTATGTATATATCACAGTTGTTGCTGTTGCCGTTGTCGCAGTTGTTTTTGTTAACGATCACGAGCGTAGCACACGAATCGAGCAACGATCGAGGTACTTCTGTGCCGCTACTACAACTACTACTACTACTGATGGTGCAGACAGCCGCTTGGAGGATCGAGGAGCGCTGGAGCAGCAACTGGCGGTGGCAGCGACGAAGAGCATGTCTTTGAGCTTGTACGGAGACTGGCCATGCTTTTACGAAGCTTTCTATGATACAACTAGCGAGGCTGGCTGGCTTCGCTCTGCTCTCGCCTGCCGCTATACTGCTACGCTCTCTCCTGCTCTATTACTTTTGACGCGCGGCTCGGTAGCGACTATATATCTCTTCCTCTCTCTGCTCTGGGAGTGTGCGTGTGCACGGTGTTGCTTTGTCGTACGCGGGGGTTTATTAGGCGCGCCGACGCCGAGAGCCACACACACACACACACACACACACACGCCGATACACCAACACCCACCAGCAGGCGTATTTATATGTATACAGCAGAGGCTCGATAGATCCAATACTCATGCGCGCCGCTGCCTCCGTTCGCCGAGCCGAGCGTCGACGACGACGACTACGACGCGAGAGCTTTTATCCCCCCGCGCGAGCAGGAGCTTTTTTCCTCTCTTCTCGCTCTCTTCTCTTTTGAGCGGTGCAAGCTGACCTCGAGGCGATGGGCGTGTATGTGTGTGTGTGTGCTTTTCGATGCGAATATAATATGAATTATTGTCGAACGCCGATTTCCTCGATTTTGTATATCTCGAAGCACGGTTCGCAAAATGTTTTTCTTTTTCGAGTGTTGAACAGAGTATATTTCGTCGCGCATGAATGCCCCCCTTCGAGTACACGTGCTTGAGAGTTAAGAAAGCGAGCGAGAGATGTCTTTGATAACTCTTTTGTCTGGAGTGGCGCGGTTGCTCATGTTGAGGCACGTCGAAATTCCTCTGTATAGATACACGATCGCATCGATGATCACGACGATGATTAGACATTACAATCGCGCAATGGCGATGAATTCTATACTAATTATCGTCGTCGTATCGTCGTATTATCCATTATTTATTTTGTTTTTCAACTCGTTTCAAAATATACATACACGGTGGCGTCTATATTATACAGTTTACGCTTCATTAGCTCGATAGATTTTGCAGCGTACTCGAAAATATGCGTCTCGCTTTATTGCACATTACATCCAATTTAATTAGTCTCGCGCATGCATAGAAACATAATTTGATACCGCGACATAATTTGATGCGTGCTGCAGCATAAACGCGTAAAATGATTGAACGAAATTCGCTAGCGCGAATCGATTCCACGGGATATAATAATATGAATTGCACGAATTTTACAAGAGGGCTCCCGATCGGTATCGATCGTTATTAAAGCACCGCGCCTTATCGTCGAAAAAGCATCCGACAGCAGCATCAGTAGCAGCAGTGGCAAAGTTTAATTTACATAATCTTGAAAAATCGACCGGCACACACGTAGGTAATAGATATATGTAACGCGCCGCTCCGCGTGCGGGTAATAGAAAACACATCACGCGTTATATATCGTGCGTGTGTGTGTGTGTGTGCATACGTATACCGATAGCTAAACAACCCCCTCGTGCTATTATATAGCATCACCAGCAGTAGGCTTGGTATGCACACCTATATAGAGTGCCAGCTTTTTTTTATTATTGCGCAACGTAATGCTGACCATGACTGCTGCTGCTGCTGCTGCTGTATAGGTGTATTTAATTCATGTATGTGCGAGTAAAAGTTCACGTCCTGATCACGCACCGTCAGTCGACACTCTTCACACACAGACACACGTACACACTTTCGCGTATTATATACCACATTGACACGCACACCCCCTTAATATACATGCTGACGTAACGCACCTATATATATGTACGTACGACGTGCGCGACAAGGTCGAAAGCGACTTCCTCTGCGCGCGACACCACCGTATATATAATCAACGTCTAGGATTTTTTTGCATTTTACACTCCCACTTTACTTTTTTCTTTTCTTTCATCTCCATTGATGTCCGAGCGAGCCCATAGGCCGTTCAACTTTCGCGAACTGTATACTGTACAAGTTTCTCCTTCCTGCCTATACGACGTATACGTAAGTTTTGCAATTCAGAAAATTACGGAAGCATTTTCTCGACTCCGCACGGATTGTATACATTGTATGAGATGCCTCTAAATCACGTCTCGCGTGGACCACCGTGACGCGAACTCGTTGTTATATGAGCTCGTTCGCGCCTCGACGGACTTTATCGGCTATTAAAAAAAAAAAAGAAGAAAAAAATGTTAGTGAGGCGGTAAATCGCCTCGACGCAATTCAGTTCATGCATCGGGCTCGTTTGAGGTGACGATTTATAATGCAACAACGAAAAGCAGCAGCAACGAAAAAAAAAGAATGAAAAAGAAGACGACGAAGAAGTGTCGTGACACGCAATGCACATGTGCTCTCGCGCGGCTAAGGCTGCTAACTGCAGCCACTGCAATTAAATGAGCATTATGAGACAGGCGTGTAATATGTAACAAATCTAATATATGAATTTTTTTAGCTCTGCCTTCGGAAGCGTTATGTATTGTATATATGTTATAATACGATAATTAGACTAACTTACATATATACGTCGCTGCACGTGTGACTGTGTGTGTGTGTGTATAATTATCCGGACTATAATATTCTATAATATTACATACACGTGAACCCGTCGCATGTATACTACAGAATGTATCGCGTCGAGCGTTACAGTATTAGAGAGACCCCATTGTAAACACCGAAAATATACAATATGAATTGTTTTATATACACCTTAAGCGATTTATTGCAGTGTGTATACGAGATCGCATTTTTATGATCCCGGGCGGTCCCGCCGCGAGCCGGTATATACCGGATGCTTTTCGGATATTTAACGATACACACATTGCTAATTATCATAAGAAGCACATTAATGAATTGACGCGCGGGCTGCAGCTCCAATCGATTAATGATACCGAGAGAGAGAGAGAGAGAGAGACAAGCGACAGATTATTGTTGTGATCGCCGTGTACCGGCATTTTCCATTTTCGACTGTGTTTATCTTTTAACTTTCGATTAGTCGCACTCATGGTGTTGTTTGGTTTGATCCGGAAAAAATGATAAACGAAAAAAAATATAATAATAATCCAAGCACTTTTTAATTTGTTTCGCGCACATCGAGCTCGATTATAATTTTTACTTTAGCAAGCGATGAACGATTATAAGTATCCATGAGCAACAATTTTGTGATCCAAATTCAGTTAACTTATTGATAATTTTTAATTCATGTTTACTCACCGAAACAAAGAAGAGAGTTTTCGCTTCATCTTGGAGCAAACTTCGCAAGATGACTTATAAATCTGTCTTGTACCTTCGGCTTACGTTAAAAATTTCTTCTTTTCTTTTTTCTTTTCCGTCTTAGAAGACTAACTGATCACGATTTTTAGGAACCTCATTACGCGTCGATAATCGAAACAATGTGCATGTATATAAATGTAATCGTACTTTATTTCAGTGACAAAAGATGCAACGAACGACACGCGGTCACCGACGACGCTGCACACGCGCGAGAGGGACGCCTTATCTTTTTTTTCCTCACTGTGTGTTGTGTAGCAATAATGTAGTCTGCTCAGTCGGTCGCGCGCGCACACACTCGGTATATAACAATAAACAAAAGAGTCTGAAACACACACACACGCGCGCGCGAGGGGATCTCAACGTTTAAACAATATAATCAGAAACAACAATAATAATATAAGTTAAGAGAATACGATATACTATACACGCGATCGCCGCGTATATTCACACGTGTGATATGTGCTTCTCGTCGAGATCGGCAAACGCGACTATCGGCTCAAAGCTCGCGTACTCTCGGTTTATAATATACTCGCTCGCGCGCCTCTTCTCTCGATCGCGTCCGAGTGTGTGTATGTGTGAGTGCGCGAGAGCGTAGGTAAGACGGACGCACGAGGTTTAATACCAGCGGCTTAATAAGGGGGCCATACACGTCCGTGTGCATGTGTGTGTGTGTGTGTGTGTGTGTGTATGTAAATACGCACACACCGATAGAGATTTGTAGTGTACCTGTATATTAGTCAGGTGTAAAGAGATGTACATATTTGCCATACGCGCAGAATTATTATTACAGGTATATATGTGGTGTACATACATACATCGAAGACGTGTGTGATAACGACTATGCCAAATAATATAATTCCCCGCGGCACATGTATGTAATCGGCGCACGAGACCCGTGCCCCGCGCGGGTGGGAGGCAAAGGAGGAGATTATCGCTAGGTATTGTGTCTATTACCTAGGTGACACGAATTAATGCGCTCGATTGTGTGCTCGGCTTTGCAATTCTTTTCTTCTATTTTTTTTGGGCTGCGAATATAACGATGAATGATACACACGTTTTATCGGAATTCCGTTAATTGGTACACGATGTATAATCGTGCAAGGACGTCGATCAGTGGGAGAGAGAACGGCTTTTCTTCTTTCCTTTTTTTTGTGCAGTCTATTGTTGCGCATTATGTTCGAGACTTTTACCGTACAAATATATACACTCTACATCCGCGTTATAACAGTGCCGCGCGATTGTTAAATTTGACAAGTCGTCCGTAGGAAAAATAATGAAGCGGTTGTATAAATATATTTTATAATTTTTCATTGTGAACGCGAATTCCTCCTCCTTTATGTTAATTTGAGCACGCGGAAAGCGTATGCATGCTGCGGCGGCGGCGGCAATGACAAGGTGAAAATAATTATCATCAATGAACGAGGAAAGCTCCCGCGCGCGCAAGTTTCGGATCGTAAACGGAAGTGTAATCGCGATGTGGCTCGAGTGAGCGATTGCAATTGTTTACATCGAAGTTTATATAATATATATATAGGTGAGCGTGGGTTTTATTTTTAATGAAAAATTTTTTGAAACAAGTGTATCGGAAATTTAAACGAATCTCGCACAAGCCAGTAAACGGGGTAATCGAATTTCAAGATTGGTAAGAAAAAGCTTTAGGTAAAAAGCTCTACGAACGTAAAATACATGATTTGATCATTTATGATGCACACGTAATAAAGTAACCGCGTAATACCATCTTTCAAAGAGATAATTTTGATATTTTTGTTAAACGCATGATGCGAAAAAATGTATATTCCTACTTATTTGCGATGCACGCATAATAACCTAACAACTTTATATCTACTTTCAAAGTGACGGGCATGATATTTTTGTAAAAACGCATG